GCCTAGAATCCCCTAGTGAAAGGCTGGGGTGTGGCTTAGTGGTAGAACCCCTGTCTAGAATCCCCCAGTGAGGGGCTGGGGTGTGGCTCAGTGGTAGGATGAACTATTACTGGGTCATTCAAATGTGACAAGATGAATGCTGTAACAAGGTGAGTGACAAGTACAACCAGGGAAGTCCTTCAAGGCCTGCCAGAATAATAGAGACACAATGGTTGCCTGTGGCCCATATTTCTCTGCTTGGTAACCCCAGGTCCTAGCACATCTTCCAAGGGCCAGAAGGGACTTCTTAGCCATTGCATTAGAAGGAGACACCAAAGACTGGGGAGATGGCTCAGTGGTAAAGCATTTGATATCGATACACATGCATGAGGACCTGAGTTCAAAGCCCCAGGACCCATGTAAAACTGGGCATGGTCATGTACCTCTGTACTCTGATAGCCTGGACAGCACCATAGGTGATGGAGACAGGAAAACCCTTGGAAGCTCATAGGCCAGTTAACCTGATGTAAACACGTAGATGATAAGAGATCCTGTCTCCCGTGAGTTCTAGGCCAGCTAGGACTGACTACACAGTAAGAACCATATCTCCAAGAGAGAGAGGAGACTCTCAATATAGAAGCTACATGAACACCTGAGCAGTCCTCTGATCTCTGCATTGTGCTGTGCACACCTGGATTGCCATTGTCACAGGTACATGAACGCACACACGCGCACGCACGAGACTCCAGAGAACCTTCAGAACCAACAGAACCTTCCTTCCCAGTGCAGAGTGGAGGCCACACCAAGCAGGCACCTGCCTGTTCACTGCTCAGGACAGATGCTAACATCTCCCTGGCAGACAAGTCCTAGAGCATCTTCCAGAGATGCTCCATCCTATCCGTGTTCCTCCACCTAGCTCCACCTTTGGAACCACCTCGGTTTGCATCCCAGGGAGATATCCGCCAATCTAGTCTCCTCCCTGGGCCCCTGCTGCATCCTGTGTCAGGCTTCTGGGTACCAATACAGACCTCCTCTGCTACACATGGCATCCATCCAGGTCATTTCCCCAGCCAGACCCTCTCTGCCCAACGCTGACATCATGCCTTGGGAGGGAGCCACAGCCTTGCTTCCCAAGGCAGGCGCCAGTTCACACATGGCTCTCTCAAACCGTCCTGGGTGTCCCTCACGGAGTCCCAGTCCCCTCAATGCTTTGTGTTACTGACTGATAAATCTGTTTTGAGAGAGGGTCTCCAATGTCCGGAGCTAGCCTCAAGGATAACCTTTAACTCTTAATCCCCTTTTCCCCACAGGCTGGGATGACAGATGTTCATTATATCTTGTTTACGTAGTGCTGAGGACAGAATCCAGAGCCTTGTGCATGCTGGGTAAATATCCTGCCAACTAAGATACATTTCCAGATTTTGAGACAGGGTCTCTCATATTTAGCCCAGGCTAGCCCTCATCCCACAATTCTTCTGCTTCGGCCTGAGTGCTGGGATTACACATATGTACCACCATGCCTGGTACCTCCATCGCTTCAGAGGGCAGAGAGCCAGTCCCATGGGTGGCTGGGAACCTAAAGAGCCCAGAAATGGGGAGTGTTTTCCCTAACACTTGTTACCAAGGCTCTTGGCACTGACAACCCAAAGCATAAAGGTAGAGCCTTTGCCTAAAATGACCCAGTGAGAGCCTTGGGGTATGGCTCAATAGTAGAGTACCTGCCTCGAAACGCCCCCACCCCTGGGAGGGGCTAGAGATGTGGCTCCGTGAAACGCTGGCTTGGCATGTGTGAGCTTCTGGATTAAATCCCAGACACTTGGAAAAAAAGAAGTTGGGGCCCCACTTGATGGGGGGGGCAATGAAGAAAGAACCCAGAAGAGACAATGGGCCTTTCTCCCTGAAGGTCATGTCCTGGCCTAGGGCCAGGCTGGCTGGTACACTTCCCCAGCCACTGGCTTCCACAGAGTTACCCCTGCTGGAGTAAGCTCAGCCCTCTGGGAGCCTGGGGCTAATCTTCTCTCTTTGTACTTAAACTATCTTAATATTTATTTTTATCTTATGTGTATAGGTGTTTTATCGCACGTAAGTATGTGCACCATGTATGCGTGTAAGTATGTGCACCGTGTATATGCAAGTGCCCGACCAGAAGGGGGCATCGGATCCTCTGACACTGGAGTTACAGATGGCTGTGAGCCAGCGTGTAAATGCTGGGAGCTGAGCCTGGGTCCTCTGCAAGAGCAGCAAGAACAAGTATTCTTAACCACTGGACCATCTCTCCAGCCCCTAGAATTCTCTTTGTTGCTACGTGAATGTATGTGTGTGTGTATGGTTGTGTGCAATACTGGGGTTGGGGTGTGTGCCATAGTTCTTGAAGACATCTGGCAGGGTCATTTCTCTCTTTATGTCATATGGGTCCAGGGATTGAGCTCACAAGCCCAGCAAAGCCGTTTGTCAACCTAACATTACTCAGCACACTCAAGCTCCTCCCACGAAAGGACAGCGGCCCTGTGGCCTCCCCATGACAGGCAGTAAGCTTGCATCCTTCGCCTCGATGACTGTACATTTGCTCTCTAGCCTGATCCTCCCGTCAACCCCCACAGTCTATGCTCACAGTGGAGCTAAGATACTTGGGGGTCCCCTAGGCCACACCCTGTACAGTTCTTCCCATGCTGGAAAGACACCTGAATCCCTGCCCTCCATCTGATACCCCCCAACCTCAGCCCTCCTCCTTTCCACAGATGTGTCTTTGTGTGTACACAGTCATGCTGTATGTGCCCATACATGGTGTGCATGCATGCAGAGGAAGCTGCAGTACTGAGTGTCGTAGTGACATGCCTATTTCTGTGATAAAATACCCTGACAGAAGGCAACGCAGGGAGAAAGTGTTAGCTCCTCAGTTCCAGGTCACGGTCCATCACAGAGGAGAAGTCATGGCAGGAACTTAGATGGCTGGTCACATCACATCCACAGTCAAGAGCAGAAAGAAATGAATGTCTGCATACTCAATGCTCAGCTGACTTTCTCTACTCTCACACAGTCCAGGGTCCCAAACCAGAGACCAGTGCTGCCCACTTTCAGGTTGGGTCTTCCCAGGTCGAATAACAATCAAAGAATCCAAACACACAGACAAGTTTACAGGCCAACACAATGTTGACAGTCTTCTGTGAGACTCTCTCTTGCCATGTAATTCTAGGTTGTGTCAAGTTAACAATTAAAACTGGCCACCATACTGGGTGCACGTCTTTAATCCCAGCACTCGGGAGGCAGAGGCAGGCGGATCTCCATTAGTTCAAGGCCAGCCTGGTCTACAGTGTGAGTTCCATCCAGAACAGCCAGAGAGAAACCCTGTCTTGAAAAACAAAACAAAAACAAAAAACAAGGAGAGAGACAGACAGACAGACAGACAGAGGAAGTGATTCTGCATGGGGCGGCTGGGATGGTTATACAGAAGCCCTGGGGCTCAAAGTTAATTTGGCTTGTGCAGAAATAAGACCCTTCTCGGGGCTGGAGAGACGACTTGGTTGGTGTTTACCACACAAACGTGAGGGCCGGAGTTTGGATCCCCAGCACCCATGTCAAACCCAGCAAGGACATGGCAGTTCAGCAAGAGGATCCCTGGGGCATGCTGGCCAGCCAGCCTAGCTGAATTGACCAGTTCTGGGTTCAGACAGACAGACAGACAGAGACCCTGTCCCAAAGAGTGAGGTGGGAAGTAATAAAGGAAGACTCCCGATGTGGTGGGTAGTTAATTTTTTGCAGGGGGGGGGGTGTTCCAAGACAAAGTTTTTCTATATAACCGTCCTGGCTGTCCTGGAACTCACTCTGTAGGCCAAGCTGGCCTCAAACTCATTTACCTCCCTAGTGCTGGGACTGAAACCGTGCATCACCACCACCCGGCTTTGTTTTTGTTGTTTTTTTTCAAGACAGGGTTTCTCTGTATAACAGTCCTGGCTGTCCTGGATAGAACTTGATCTGCAGACCAGGTCACAGAGATCCCCCTGCCTCTGCCTTCCAAGTGCTGGAATTAAAAGGTTCTAAAGGTTCTTCTGGAATGCCTCCCGTGAGTACAAGTGGATCTGCCATCTTGGAGGGGACACTGGACTGCATCGCACTTGTAGCAGGTTGTCGTCAAACCTTTGGGACAATCCAATGAGATGGGCAGAATCCTATGCTGCCGCGTGAAGTGTAACATGTAAGGGACTGTGTAGAGCTGTTTATAACTGGGTACTCATCAAAGACACAGAAAGACAAATCTCTAGCTGGGTGTGGTAGATCTTGCCCATAATCTCAGCGCTGGAGGACTTGGTAGGATAAACAGGAGTTTGAGGCCAGCTTGAGCTGTACAACTTGAGACCCTGTCTCTAAACCTAACCAAACTCTTCCCAATTCTAGTATACCCTCTATGATAGTGAGATCTGTCAATCTGAGAGAATCTGGAATCTCCAAGGAGACAGGCCTCTGGGCATACCCGTGGGGATGTCCGTGCTTCTGCTGACTGATTCAGGAAGACCCATTTTAACAGTGGGTGGGATTATCCCCTGAACAGGGAGTTCTGGCCCGCAGAAAACAGAGACAGAGATGGACAGCAACGTGCATACACCTCTGCTTCCTGATGATGGGTGAGATTCGCTGTTGGGGTTGAGGATGAGTTGGTAGGGCGCTTGCCTGTCATGCACGAAGCACCAGGTTCCATTCCCAGCACAGTACAAACTGGGCACACTGGTACACAGCGGTACCCTTAGCATCTAAGAGGCAGAGGCAAAGAATCGCTGAATGTCTGAGGCTAGCCTGGGCTACACAATGAGTTTCTAAGCCCTGCAAGTGATACAGCTCCCTCCGAGTTACCCACACTCCTGTAAGAAACCCCAATAAATTCACTGGTTAATCATGCCGGACTTTGGGGGGAATCCTTCGTTTGGTCTGCTGTTAATGTCCTATCTGCATGGGGTACACGTTTGCTCATGTCTCCCCAGGAAAAATCCCCATGCTGCAGCCCCCTTCCCACTCTCGGCCCCACCTACCTTCCTTGGAGCCACTGGCTGGTGCCACCACAGAGGATGAAGCTGACCCTATGGATGGTCTGCCCACGGGACTGGAGTGCTTGCCCCCTCGACCAGGGGGCTTCAGGCCACTGGGCTTCTGCATGGTGGGGCCACTAGGAGGGCAGACAAAGGCAGATGACGGTCACATCCTCCCTGCCATCCTTGGTCACCTGCGGACAGAACACAGGGGCAATGGAGTCATAATGTCCTCACTAGCATGTGGGAACTTGGCTGGTCCCAGTAGTCCTGAAACTGACTGAGCCCATCAGAGGCTGCCAGTATTTCCTCTCCGTTTTGTTTGAGATAGGGTATCCTGTAGCCCAGGCTGGTCTCCAACTCATTATACAGTGGAGGAAGACACTGAGCTCCGCCTCCATCTCCTGAGGGCGGGCTTACGGATGGGAACCACCACACCTGATTTACTCAGGCCTGGGGATGGACTCAGGGCTGGTGTGCCGCACTCTTCTCCTTTGGCTTGCTATTCCTGACACGGGGTCTCACTACATATCCCAGAGTGGATCTTCCGCTCCTAAGCCAGCCTCCGGAGTGGTGATTACCAGTGTACCTCACCAAGGTCCACGACACTGGGTCACTTGTAGATGGAGAAGTGATCTTTGTTTTGGGGCTGCCTAGCCGCGGCTGCTAGAAGTTGCAGAACTTATGAGCGACCGCAGGGGACAGCTAGATGGTGAACCGGGCCACCATGGAAGGCAGAGCAGAGTCTGCCCCTCCCTCTACTAGTCTCAACTGTTGGTCTGGCCTACACCTATCTGAAGGGCACTGCCACACACACCAGAAAGGATCTAAAAGAAAAAAAAAACCCGTCAGCTCGCTCCTTTAATCCCAGCACTTGGGATGCTGAGGCAGGAGGATTGCTGCAAGTTAGTTAGTTAGTTAGTTTGTTTTTCAAGACAGGGTTTCTCTGTAGCTTTGGAGCTTGTCCTGGGACTAGCTCTATAGATCAAGCTGGCCTCGAACTCACAGAGATCCTCCTGCCTTTGCCTCCCAAGTGCTGGAAATTAAAGGTGTGCACCACCACCGCTCAACTGCTACAAGTCTGGAGTCACCCTGAGATACATAGCAAGACCCTGTCTCAAAAAGGCCAAGAGAGGCTGGGAAGTGGTGGCACACACCTTTAATCCCAGCATTCAGGAGGCAGAGGCAGGTGGATCTCTGTGAGTTCGAGGACAGCCTGGTCTACAAGAGCTAGTTCCAGGACAGGACAGTCTCTAAAGCTACAGAGAAACCCTATCTCGGGGGGGGGGGGGGCAAGAAAGAAGAGGTGGTGGCAAAGAATGGGAGAAAAGGAAACACAAACACACACACACACACACACACAGTACAGGGAGCTCTTGGCAGAAATGCTTGGATATCTCAGAATGTCTCTCAGTCATGTGTTCAGCAGCCAGTGTTTGCTTTTGTGTGTGTGTGTGTGTGTATGTGTGTGTGTGTAATAGGCATTAGCCTATCTATAGTCATTCACATACTGAGTAGGTGCTCTACCACTGAGCCACACCCCAGCCCCTCACTGGGGGATTCTAGGCAGGGGCTCTACCACTGAGCACACCCCAGCCCCTCATTGAGGGACTCTAGGCAGGGGCTCTACCACTGAGCCACACCCCAGCCCCTCACTGGGGGACTCTAGGCAGGGGCTCTACCACTGAGCCACACCCCGGCGCCTAACAGGGGCACTCTAGGCAGGAGTTCTACCTAGGCAGCACTATGTGAAAAGGATTCGAAGGTGTGGCCTCGTGAGAGGAAGTGTCACTGTGGAGTGGGCTTTGAGGTTTCAAAAGCCCACTCCAGACCCAGTCTCTCTCTCTGTGTCTGTCTGTCTCTCTCTCTGTTTGTGGATGGGGGCATTGCTCCTTCTCTGGCACCACACCGGCACGCTGCCATGTTTCCTGTCATGATGATAATGGACGAAACCTCCGAAACTGTAAGCCAGCCCCCAGTTAAATGTTTTCTTTTACAGGGGTTGTCCTGGTCATGGTGACTCTTCACAGCAATAGAACAGTTACTAAGACAGAGATGCATGCATTTAACCCTAATGCTGGAAGGCAGAGATGGGTGAATTCCCTGACCAGCCAGCTTAGTCTTCTTGGTGACTCCAGGCTAGTGGAAAAGCCTGTCTGAAAAAAACAAAGAAACAACTTCCAGAGTTGACCCCTGACCTCCACACAAGGGTGCATATATGTGCACTGGGACCAGACACACACACACACACAGACACGAAGAAAAGAGAAGGGAGAAAGGAAGGAGAGACAGAGGGAAAGGGAGGGAGAGACAGAGGGGATTAGTAAAGAAGGGGAAGGAAGAAGGGAAGAAAGAGAAGAAAAGGAAAGAAGAGATGCTGGCGAGATGATTCAGAAGGTAAATGTGCTTGCTGCTAAGCCCAAGGACCTGAGTTCAATCCCCAGGTCCTACACAGTAAGAGAGACCAACTCTTGGAAATTGTCCTTCCCATGAGCAGGCAGCACACGCAGGCCTGCACGCAAAAATAAAGGGAAATAGGTTATTTTAGGAAGAACATCCTCATAGAGCCAGGAGCTAGAAAGAAAAACTCAATTTCATGGTTTTCATCACAGTGGAGTCACAGTGGCAGGGTCATGCTGAACTGGCCCCAGGGCTAGTCCTCCCCTACCTCCCAGCCCAGCGGCCCTACCCTAAAACAATATTTCCAAGACCCTGACCTCAAGGGACAGCGCCTGCTTGCTTCAACTAACAAAAGAGAGCCGGGAGCTGGCAGAAAGGAACCTAGCCGGCTTTCAGCCAGTTCCAGCTATCCCAGCCAGGGGACTGGAAGGGACCGGAAGGGGGACGGGGGAGGGGAGAGAGAGCAGGAAGAGGGGAGGAGGCAGAGGGCTGAGCTGGCCCTCTGTGACTCAGCCCTGCTCTGGGACAGAGAGCTGGTTGTGGGGTGGGGGGTGGGGACTTGGGAAAGCTGTGACATGGCCATGTGGCCTCTGGCCACAGCACAGTCATGGTGGAGGCCATGCAGAACTAGCGTGGCCTGAGGTCTAAATTCAGTCTCCCTCCAAGGTGACAGTACCAGGGTGGTCACCTATACGATGGGATGCAGGCAGCAGGCGTGGTCAGCACAGTGACTCCAGCACAAAAGAGGCGGAGGAGGAAGATCTGGAGTTCTGGGCAGGCAAATAGCCTAGCAGCTTTAGACAATTGCCCCCAAACCTGATGACCTGAGTTGGATCCCCAGGGCCCGCAGGGTGTAAGGGCAGAACTGGCAGATATACACACTAAAATGTAGTAAGATTAAAATTTAAAAAACAAAAACAAGTTGGGCTGGTAAGGTGTTTGCTCTAGCATCCGTGAAGCCCTGGGTTCAATCCCCTGCACTGCATAAACCAGGGGTGGTTATGCACACCTATAATCCCCAAATTTGGGAGGTGCAGCAGGAGGATCAGAAGTTTAGGGTTATCCTCAGCCACACTGTGAGTCTGAGGCCAGCCTGGGCTACAAAAACAGTTTAAAAATTGTAAGCCATCTTGGTGGTGCACATTTTAATCCCAGCATTCGGAAGGAAGGGGCAGGCGGATCTCTATGAGTTTGAGGCTAGCCTGGCCTATGGAGTAACAGTGTAGCCAGGGCTACACAGAAAAACCTTGCCTCAAAAAGGAAGGAAGGAAGGAAGGAAGGAAGGAAGGAAGGAAGGAAGGAAGGAAGGAAGGAAGGAAGGAAGGAAGGAAGGAAGGAAGGAAAGAAGGAAAGAAGGAAGAAAAAGAAAAGAAAAACTGGGGTCTAAGTATGGCTGCCTTGTGGGGGTGAGGATGCCTGAGTTGGGAAGATGTAACCCCAGGAGTATCCCAGATACTTGACACAGCTCAGAAGTCCCATGTCCCAGCTCTCCCTGGCTCTGTGCACAGGAGCACTGTCTGGGAACTCAGGTCCAACAAGAGCAACAGGCCCCTCTGTCCTGCCCTCAACTGCCATTTCTCGGAAGAAACCGGAGCTCTGTTTCAGGGTTTCCATTTCAGCGGCCTGGGGGTGACTGGCCGCAGTTTCAGCAAGGGACAAGGCCCAGGATGTCAACCCAGTGAATTGGTGGAGCCCCAAAGACAGGAACAGTGCCAAGCGGGGCAATGGAAAGCCCAAATCCTCAGAGATAATGTGGCCCCGGGGCAGGGTGGAGGGCACCAGGATATAGGCGCCCTGGCCCAGAATCCCAGGAAAGCCCCTGGCCCTGGATCCTTCACTGGGTGCTTCTGCCAGGAGACAGTCCCTGGATAAGGGTACTACACTACTGAGGCTCATGTATATCCAGCCTCCTCTCTTTCAGTTTTTAATTTTTTTACGGGGAGGCGGGGACGGGGATGGCTGTTCATGCCTGTTCCATGTGACAAAGGGTGACAACAGGAACGGGTGTTCATTTCTCTTCTTCCACAAGAAGGTTCTGAGGGGGGGGGGGGCTGGAGAGATGGCTCAGTGGTTAAGAGCATTGCCTGCTCTTCCAAAGGTCCTGAGTTCAATTCCCAGCAACCACACGGTGGCTCACAACCATCTGTAAAGAGGTCTGGCGCCCTCTTCTGGCCTGCAGGCATACAGACAGAATATTGTATACATAATAAATAAATAAATATTAAAAAAAAAAAAGAAGGTTCTGGGGACTGAACTCAGGCCATTGGGGCTTGTCAGCAAGCCCCTTTACCTGCTGAGCTAGCTTGAAGCCCCTTGTTTTTGGTATCTGATATATAGCCTAGGCTGGTCCCAAACTCTCCATCTTCCTGCCTCTTTCTCCCCAGTGCTAAGATTACCGGGCCTGGATACCATTCTGATTGCATATGGCTGAGGGTGAGAGAACACAGGCAGCTTGCTATGGGTCACTGAGAGGTCACCTGAGTCCATGACCTCCCAGTCCAAGACAAACCAAAGGCAAGGCTGGGACGGACTCTCCCTGTGAGTCTTGCCAACTTCCAAGCCTCAAACCAGCTGGGCCTCAGGCCTGGGAGAACCAGAGAGATGTAGTCCATCTGCCTGGCCCCTGACCTCACCCTCCTTCCTCTCCCCACCCCCCCCCACCCGGATTACCGGCCCAATACTTGCAAGGCTGTGTTAACCACTGGAAGCCCATGGCAGAGATGTGCAAAGGTTAGGGGTGAGGCCCCTGGTTATGTCTTGGTCCCCTTGAGAGTGCCGAGAAGGCAGAGCATCA